CAATGGTATCATAGCAGCAACTTCAGGGCCTCTGCTGTGAAGGTTGAGGATGAATTGCTCCAAAGTGCCTACAGCTACAGAGGAAAGTGCTCTGTTACGGCTTATCAAGAATATGTAAATACTTGTCCATAGCTTTGCCACAGGTTCACTTTAATATTAAGTGTAATACTATTTCCCATTTCCTCATAAATAGTAAAAAATCTATATGGCTATATTAAAAAACATTTGGTTTAGTGGGTTAACTCAGTATTACATAATAAAAATACAGTATTCTTACAACAAAAACTCAGTCAAATATTGGACTTTGTACATACTTTGCTCCAATATAATTTGGCACCCACAATCTATTCTCATGATTTACATTATAAAGCTCTGCAAGGCTATGGCATGCTATGCATTATTAGGACTAAGTTTTGCAATACTTTATTAGAAAGATTTACTGAGTCATTAATGTTGTAATCCTGCTAAAGATTCATAACTGTAATTGATTTTATTAAAAGTTTAACTTGCCCCTACTGAATTAACTTTCTTGAAATCCTGTTCTACCGCAGCTTACATTTTTCTATTTAATAAATTCTGAGACTCATACATTTTTTAAAGTTTATTTAAGCAGAACCATCTAATTTTGCATTACATAAATTGTCTTTCAATCTCTGTGTTTGTTTTAAATCTTTACTTGCAGCTGCTGAGCTAAGTGTTCTTTCATTATTTCAATTTACAGTCCTTATTATAATGTGCCTTTAATTGTCAGTTTATAAACACTTGCTTTGGATTAGAGTATATTTAGTATATTAATCATATCAATTTGAGAAAACAATTATGTTAATAATGACTGCATAAAAACTACTTCATAATGGAACTATATAACAATTCATATTTTAATCCACGTTTTTTTTTTCCCTAACCAATAACAGAACATTTTATTCAGAGTCCGTGTAAGAGTTTTCTAATCCATTTACAGATTTATAAAATAATTTATTGGAGATATTGATAACTAAACGATAAGGAAAGCAATTGTTGCAGGATGTATGATATTTCAACAAATTAGTCCACCATCTCAGGCCCGAATATGCTTTTTTAGTAGTTTAATGGGTAGCTTGAACCTGGACCATGTTTTTTTCAGAGGCTTATAGTAGCCAAGTAGTGGAATATTACCATTATGGTATGTTGACAACTCAAAAGTACTGTCATTTGTGGTGAGGATTGTGCCTGGACTTCTTATCTCAAATACCCAAATAACTTTCCCAATCCTTTACAATAGCCTTTACTACTCAAGTACATCAAGAAAAAAAACCTATATTTTATTAATGGTTGTTTTTGGTTGCTCCTTCTTTTAGCACTGTGTAGACATTTGTGGGTTTGTTTCAGAAATGCATGAGGCCTAAAGAAAAGTTCTAAGGCACCCCAAAATCTTGCATCTTTAATAACTTAGCCCCAAACTTTCTGAACTGAGGTAGCCAAATGTACTTATTTTATGTCACAGACCAGAATTTGATCAATGAGAGATATATTTATAATTTTAGAACACCTCATGATGCACAGATGGAGGAGATCAGGAAGCAGCATGAGGCAAAGGTGAGGCCCTGTGTGCAAGGGACCTCCTGATCTCTAATGATCTCTAAAGAAAAAGAACACATAAGCATGCTTCTGTGACAGACATTTTATACAGTTCAAAGGTTGTCAGAGAGATCAAGAGATTAGAAAGCCAGCAGGCCACTGACCTTCTATTAAAATTGTTATAAAGCACTACTCTACTGTTTAGTGCAGGGGTCCTCAAACTACAGCCAGTGGGCCACATGCGGCCTGCCGGCAGGGACGTATTTTCTGCGAGGAAGGGACACTAAGTACAGGGGTGGGCAGGGGGCTGTTATACCTTACCTGGCTCCGGTCCCAGTCCCACGACGATCCAGTCCAGGAAGCGCTGCTTCTTTATTCACTCCGGCCACTCCCTCACTCCTGCCGCTCGGCCTGGCCTCCTCACCGGTGATTGGGTGCCAGAACTGTAGCTCAGGAAAGGCACACAGGCGGCCAATCATCTGCGAGGAAGTGGAGCCGAGCAGCCCTGTGAACATCGAGTGAGGGAGAGGCCGGAGTGAAGAAGGACAGCTGACAGGTAAGTGTGCCATGCAGATGGTGCTGCTGCAACCAGGTATGCTGGCTGGAGCAGGGGTCAGCAAGTTAAGTGTCATTGGTGTCAGTGGGAGGAATAGTGCCCCATCATTGGTGTCACTGATACTAATGATGGGGCATTATTCCTCCCACTAACACCAATGATGGGGCACTATTCCCCCCCCCCCCCACTGACACCAACGATAGGGCACTATTCCTCCCCCCCCACTGACACCAACGATGGGGCACTATTCCACCCCCCACTGACACCAACGATGGAACAATATTCCTTCCCCCACTGACACCAATGATGGGGTACTATTCCTCCCACTGACACCATTGTTGGGACACTATCCCCCCCCCCCCACTGACACCAATGACAGGGCACTATTCCCCCCCCCACACTGACACCAATGACGTACTATTCCTCCCACTGACACCAATGATGGGGCACTATTCTTCCCACTGATACCAATGATGGGACACTGTTCCTCCAACTGACACCAATGATGGGACACTATTCCTCTCACTGACACCAATGTTGGGACACTACCCCCCCCCCCCTTACACTGACACCAACGATGGGGCACTATTCCTCCCCCCCCCTGACACCAACAATGGGGCACTATTCCTCCCCCCTACTGGCACTAATGATGGGGCACTATTTCCTTCCACTGACACCAATGATGGGGCACGATTCTTCCCACTGACACCAATGATGGGGCACTATTTCTCCTACTGACACCAATGATGGGGCACGTTTTCCCCCACTGACACCAATGATGGGGCACGTTTCTTCCCACTGACACCAAAGATGGGGCACTATTCCTCCCACTGACACTAATGATGGGGCACTATTCCTCCCCCCCACTGACACCAACAATGGGGCACTATTCCTCCCCCCCTGAAGATCGAGTGAGGGAGAGGCCAGAGTGAAGAAGGACAGCTGGACAGGTAAGTGTGCCATGCAGATGGTGCTGCTACAAACAGGTATGCTGGCTGCAGCAGCACCATGCTGAGCAGGGGTCAGCAAGTTAAGTGTCATTGGTGTCAGTGGGAAGAATAGTGCCCCATCATTGGTGTCACTGATACTAATGATGGGGCATTATTCTTCCCACTAACACCAATGATGGGGCACTATTCCTCCCCCCCACTGACACCAACGATAGGGCACTATTCCTCCCCCCCACTGACACCAACCGATGGGGCACTATTCCACCCCCCACTGACACCAACGATGGAACAATATTCCTTCCCCCACTGACACCAATGATGGGGTACTATTCCTCCCACTGACACCATTGTTGGGACACTATCCCCCCCACTGACACCAATGACGGGGCACTATTCCCCCCCCACTGACACCAATGACGTACTATTCCTCCCACTGACACCAAAGATGGGGCACTATTCTTCCCACTGATACCAATGATGGGACACTGTTCCTCCAACTGACACCAATGATGGGACACTATTCCTCTCACTGACACCAATGTTGGGACACTACCCCCCCCACACTGACACCAACGATGGGGCACTATTCCTCCCCCCCCTGACACCAACAATGGGGCACTATTCCTCCCCCCCCCCACTGGCACTAATGATGGGGCACTATTCCTCCCACTGACACCAATGATGGGGCACTATTCCTCCCACTGACACCAATGCTGGGGCACGATTCTTCCCACTGACACCAATGATGGGGCACTATTCCTCCCACTGACAGCAATGATGGGGCACGTTTCTTCCCACTGACACCAATGATGGGGCACGTTTCTTCCCACTGACACCAAAGATGGGGCACTATTCCTCCCACTGACACTAATGATGGGGCACTATTCCTCCCCCCCTGACACTAACGATGGGGCATTATTCCTCCCCCCCACTGACACCAACAATGGGGCACTATTCCACCCCCCACTGACACCAACGATGGAACACTATTCCTTCCCCCACTGACACCAATGATGGGGTACTATTCCTCCCACTGACACCATTGTTGGGACACTATCCCCCCCCACTGACACCAATGACAGGGCACTATTCCCCCCCCCACTGACACCAATGACCTACTATTCCTCCCACTGACACCAAAGATGGGGCACTATTCTTCCCACTGATACCAATGATGGGACACTGTTCCTCTCACTGACACCAATGTTGGGACACTACCCCCCCCCCACACTGACACCAATGATGGGGCACTATTCCTCCCCCCCCTGACACCAACAATGGGGCACTATTCCTCCCCCCACTGGCACTAATGATGAGGCACTATTCCTCCCACTGACACCAATGATGGGGCACTATTCCTCCAGAACTGTAGCTCAGGAAAGGCACACAGGCGGCCAATCACCTGTGAGGAGGCGGAGCCGACCAGCCCCGCGAAGATCGAGTGAGGGAGAGGCCGGAGTGAAGAAGGACAGCTGACAGGTAAGTGTGCCATGCAGATGGTGCTGCTGCTACAAACAGGTATGCTGGCTGCAGCAGCACCATGCTAGAACAGGGGTCAGCAAGTTAAGTGTCATTGGTGTCAGTGGGAAGAATAGTGCCCCATCATTGGTGTCACTGATACTAATGATGGGGCATTATTCTTCCCACTAACACCAATGATGGGGCACTATTCCTCCCCCCCACTGACACCAACGATAGGGCACTATTCCTCCCCCCCACTGACACCAACGATGGGGCACTATTCCACCCCCCACTGACACCAACGATGGAACAATATTCCTTCCCCCACTGACACCAATGATGGGGTACTATTCCTCCCACTGACACCATTGTAGGGACACTATCCCCCCCACTGACACCAATGACGGGGCACTATTCCCCCCCCACTGACACCAATGACGTACTATTCCTCCCACTGACACCAAAGATGGGGCACTATTCTTCCCACTGATACCAATGATGGGACACTGTTCCTCCAACTGACACCAATGATGGGACACTATTCCTCTCACTGACACCAATGTTGGGACACTACCCCCCCCCCCCCACACTGACACCAACGATGGGGCACTATTCCTCCCCCCCCTGACACCAACAATGGGGCACTATTCCTCCCCCCACTGGCACTAATGATGGGGCTATTCCTCCCACTGACACCAATGATGGGGCACTATTCCTCCCACTGACACCAATGCTGGGGCACGATTCTTCCCACTGACACCAATGATGGGGCACTATTCCTCCCACTGATACCAATGATGGGGCACGTTTCTTCCCACTGACACCAATGATGGGGCACATTTCTTCCCACTGACACCAAAGATGGGGCACTATTCCTCCCACTGACACTAATGATGGGGCACGATTCTTCCCACTGACACCAATGACGGGGCACTATTCCTCCCACTGACACCAATGATGGGGCACTATTTCGCTCCATAAGACACACTTGGGAGGAAATGTCTGTGCGTCTTATGGAGCGGCGGCCGGCCCAGTATTGTATGTCTGCAGTCTCTGGTCATCTCCTGTACCGCATTTGTTCATAGTTTTTTTTTTTTAAACTATAGTCCGGCCCTCCAACGGTCTGAGGGACAGTGAACTGGCCCCCTGTTTTAAAAAGTTTGAGGACCCCTAGTTTAGTGTATCTAACTCTATTTTATGTATGTAATTTTTTTTGGTGTGGTAGTGATGGTGGATACACCTTAAAACAAAACATTTCTGGTGCCACCATGGCAGCATGCATATGGTAGCCCTCACTGTTAAATCACAGAACCAGTGAATAGCTATAAAATGTTTCAGCCAATGGGTACTCACAGACAGTGCATAAGAAGACACCCTTTGCCTGCCACTTTGTTTGTATCTGCACAGGTTCAGCTTCTCCAGTGGAGAAGACCCTTGTGTTAGGTCCTAGTGTTCTAGTAAGGCAGGGAACCCTATCTGTAGATCTTCTGGGGTCTGTTAGAAGTACATGCTGACAGTATACCTTATAGCTTGACCAAAAGTATTCTCTTCTTAAAGGGGTGGCTGGGGATAAGCTGCTTCCCAAATTAGGGGTAACAGTAGCCTGTTGCTAGTTGGGTTAGGCTTTGGCCACACAGAGTTACAGCATGCATTCTGGGAAGACCACTGGAGCAAGTGTAGTTCATGTTTCCTGGTCTGGTGGCCTTCTTGGATAAGGGCAGGCATAAGGATTGGCTTAATAGGGTAAGGAGAAAGGAGGGAGAGGTACCAGATAGCTTAAAAAGCTGGCAGGAATTGTGGTCAGCATTCTCAACCAGATTCTTTGGCCACAACTCTCCATCAGAGTTGCCTATAGCTGCAACTGTGCATTTCAGAACCTTACAGGTAAGTGTTATTGTGCCTGTTCTCTAGAAGTCTGTTATTGGTAGTAGGTCTATGGGCGGACTGTTTTTTTTTATTTTTTTTTTTGCAATTGCGAAGATAAGGGGTCACCTTCAGGTAGGTATTTTTAGGAATTTTTATAGCTAAGAGAGTGCACACAGGGGCTAATGGGGCTCTCTGTATTGCAATCTGCCACCCCATAATAGCAAGAGCTCATTGCAGGGATTCCAGCTGCTCCTATGAAGCAACTAATCTACTCTATTCAGTGTCAGAAATGGGTCAGTAGCCCTTCAATAGGAGAAGATACAGAGAGCCCATGCCAGGCCAAACTGTTAGACAGCATCTTATTGTCTTAAGTTTCTCAAGACAATTTTCTTCTTGTACCCCAGTGGTGAGCTAGGCCCACTGGCATCTATGCTCAATTCAATCAGGATTCATTGCCAAGGGGGACAGGAAATCACTGACCCAAAGTATTCACATTTCACGTTAAATGAAAAGCAGCCTGTGGTGGTGGACCAAAATTGAGAACTTGTCAACCAAATAGTGATCTCATACATTGGCTGTGAGTTCCCCCAAACTTCATCTGGAAAAGTCTACCTGGAGTTGTGGTGCTTATCATGAACTAGGAAGAATTGAACCTGCTCAACCTGACAGCAATCTGCATCCCAGCCTTTTAGAATGTCCAAGCACATACCCTCTCAAGTTGGTTTCACAGCAACAATCAGTGATCACTGGAACAGGAAGTGTTTAGTTCAATCTGTTATAATCCAGTCCTTCCTAAAATAAATCTATTTGTCTGCCCAGAAAAGTGAAAACACATAGAGATTGTTTGAGACATTTTCTTCCCCAGAGGCAGAGTGACTGGATGCCTTGTTTCAACCTTAGAATTTCAGGGTGGGATATACATTTCCACTATTTGCCCTAATACCCAGGTTCCTGCTGTGACTGCTAAATTAATCTGTAATACCGTATTGGCTACAAAGACCGTAGTACCTGTTCCTCATCAGCTCAGTGTATATGAACAACAACCTCCTTGATCCCCTACAGTCTGGCTTCCGTCTCCTACACTCCACCAAAACTGCCCTACTCAAACTCACCAACGACCTGCTAACCGCCAAAGCTAATGGCCACTACTCAGTGCTCCTACTCCTTGACCTCTCCGTGGCCTTCGACACAGTCGACCACCCCCTCCTCCTTAAAAAACTATACCCCCTTGGCCTCAGAGACTCCGCTCTCTCCTGGCGCTACTCCTATCTATCCCAGTGCTCCTTCAGTGTTACCTATAACGCTGCCACCTCCCCCCCTCTCCCCCTCTCTGTTGGGGTCCCCCAAAGCTCTGTCCTCTGGCCCCTTCTCTTCTCCATCTACACCTCCTCCCTTGGCCAACTGATACACTCCTACGGCTTCAACAACCACCTCTACGCAGATGACACGCAAATTTACCTCTCTACCCCCTTCAGTCACCCGCCTACTGAACGACATAACAGATTGGATGTCACTCCACTTCCTCAAACTAAACCTTTCCAAAACCGAGCTCCTAGTTTTCCCCCCAGCCCACGCCCTCCCCTAACCTCTCCATCATGACCAATAACGCCATCATCAGTCCCACCCCGCAAGCCAAAGTTCTAGGTGTCACTCTAGACTCTAATCTGTCCTTCCAGCCCCATGTCCAATCGCTGGCAAATTCATGCAGGCTCCACCTTTGTAACATCTCCAAAATACGTTCGTTCCTAACCCCAGATACTACTAAACAACTCATTCACTCCCTTATTATCTCACGACTCGACTACTGCAACTCCCTCCTCACTGGCTTACCTCATCACAGACAATCCCCGCTTCAGTCTATCCTGAACTCTGTGTCTAGACTCATCCACCTTACCAACCACTCCGTATCCGCCACCCCCCTCTGTCATTCCCTCCACTGGCTTCCGATTGCCCAACGCATAAAATTCAAACTTCTAACATTGACGTACAAAGCTGTTCATAATACTGCCCCAAACTACCTCACCGACCTGATATTCAAATACCACCCTACACGTACTCTTCGCTCCTCACAAGACCTCCTACTCTCTAGCTCCCTGGTCTCCTCCTCCCATGCCTGACTCCAGGACTTCTCCAGGTCTTCCCCCATCCTCTGGAACTCCCTACCCCAATCCATCAGACTGTCACCTACCCTCCTCACCTTTAGGCACACCCTGAAAACCCATCTCTTCAGGGAAGCCAACCCTGCTCTCACCTAACTGCCGATCTCCTCCACTCCCCCTACCACTCCATCCCGCACAGCCATTTCCTCCTGTACCACTATCCCCTCCCTCCTAGATTGTAAGCTCCAAAGAGCAGGGCCCTCGAACCCCTCGTTTATTGTTACTGTATTGTCTCATGTACTGTCTCCCACTATAATGTACAGCGCTGAGCAAACTTTTTGGCACTATATAAATACTGTATAAGAAATAATAAAAAATAATAATAATTAACCTCTGCTTCTGATGGAATGGCTACCTCTGAAGTCATAGAACTTGAAAGGAAGAAGCTGGAAGTGTTATAATGCACAAATGGGATCAACACCTTACTTAAAGCAAGAAAAAGTTTCACAAAAACTATCTATAATTGAATATGGTGTAAGGACATTGCCTTTGTAATAGGGAAGTGATTTGACCTATTCCACCCACTAATTCCATAAATTCTAATCTAATCTAAACTAATTCCAATCAGTGGTTGCTCTAGGGTCAAATCCAAACTCAATCAAGGTCCAGGTCTCAGTTGCTCTCAGCCACTACAAACCAATGGTGCAAATATGTAAGGCAGTATTAAATATCATGCCTCCCTGAAAGAACCTGCTTTCCCTATGGGATATGTAAACTGTTTTCAACCGATTCATTACAAAGCCTTTTGTTCCATTAGAGAAGACAGAGCTGTGGCAACTGACTGAAGATAGATTTCCTGCTGGCCATTATATCAGCAGATGATTGTCTGAACTGATGTCATAGGATGCTTGACCCCTACATAAGGTTTTTATAGACTGGATGGGTTTACACCCTATCCAACATTTTTAAATCTATGGTTGCTACTACCTACCATTTGAATCAGGAGTGGGTTCTTCCTTTTGAGCACAGGCATACCCAAAACAACTAATTGACCTTGATGTGTATATGTCCTTAAAACATATTTACAGACCTATTAAGAAATTTAGAAAGGATATTTACAGTTGTGGCCAAAATTATTCAACCCCCACTGAAATTGAGTGTTTTGGCCAGTTTGACATTGCTTTTGATCATTCAGTCCATCTTGCTTACATTTACATTAAAGAGGCACTTGTAGGTCAGACAAATATAACATAACAGTTATAATGAAATAACCACAAATGTCTTTTCTGTGCTCACAGCATTATCAGTTTTATTCAACCCCCCAAGTGACATTCAATCTTAGTACTTAGTACAGCATCCTTTTACAGTTATAACAGCTTTTAAACGTGAAGCATAGCTTGACACAAGTGTCTTGCAGCGATCTACAGGGTATCTTCGCCCATTCTTCATGGGCAAAGGCCTCCAGTTCAGTCACATTCTTAGGCTTGCGCACTGCAACTGCTTTCTTTAAGTCCCACCAGAGGTTCTCAATCGGATTTAAGTCTGGTGCAATGACTGCGATGGCCACTCCAAAATGTTCCAGCCTTTCCTCTGAAACCATGCTCTAGTGGACTTGGAGGTATGCTTGGGATCATTGTCCTGTTGAAAGGTCCAACGTCTCCCAAGCCTCAGGTGTGTGACGGACTGCATCACGTTTCCATCCAATATCTCCTGGTACTGAAGAGAATTCATGGTACCTTGCACACGCTGAAGCTTCCTGTACCTGCAGAAGCAAAACAGCCCCAAAGCATGATTGACCCTCCACCATGCTTCACAGTAGGCAAGGTGTTCTTTTCATCATAGGCCTTGTTCTTCCTCCTCCAAACATAGCGTTGATCCATGGGCCCAAACAGTTCTAATTTTGTTTCATCAGTCCACAAAACACTATCCCACAACTTTTGTGGTTTGTCCACATGGCTTTTGGCATACTGCAGTCGACTCTTCTTATTCTTTGGAGACAG